GATGTTTGGGCACAGCTTCAGTATAGCCCACCCGGAATTTTAAACAAAAACATATCGCCAAGAGCGGCGATAAATGATATGACCTGGTAACCCATACTATTCGCCAAATGCAATGTAAACAAGAGGATGAAATTACGGTTACAGCTAATATAGCAGTCAGTTACGTATATTCAATTTCAATACAAATTACCGAGATATCCGTTTACTCAAAGTTTAATGCACGTGCCCTGTATTCTTACTTTTACGGTATAAATTTCTCTTAAAATTTGTCTCATGCTGCGTTGCAGGGGGAAATACAACATTTTAAATTAGAATTCTCTACTAAAATTAATATCTAAATACACAATTCGTAACACTGTTATTGGCGATTGTTTAACGCTCAGACACTGTGAATACTATTTTGTATATATTTTTTGGGTTACTTTGGAGGTGATATTTTTGTGTGTACTTATTGCTTGCTCTAAAACTGCTATTAGTGATGTTGTAATTAAGTATCAGGAGATTATAAAGGAAAATTTAAGGTGGGAGTTTTCAAACAAGCGTAAAATTTTGGGAACAGATATTTTATGTATTAATTAACAAGAGGGGGTATGAACTTTTTAGAGGATTTTTGATGGATTGTCGATTATTGACGGATAACGTTTGTTGTGAAAAATGTAAGATACCATACTGGTTAGTTAGTCAGAAAAAGTCATCGAATGGTAGTATTTGGAGATGCAAGAAGTGTAGGGCTGAGAAATCAATTAGGCTAGTATCTTGGTTCGCCTGTAGTAAGCTCAATTTTTCTAGAAACATTTTTTTTTACAAGCAATCGGAGTTGCTTATGCGCAATTCTCCGATTTCTTTTAAGTGAAAGCAGATTTCTTAGTACGAGGGCAATCCCAAAAAAAAAGTCTTCTATATTTTTAGATATACAAAGAACCGTTTATTTTCTATAATTGCTACATCACTTTAAAGATTGAAAAGTGCTTTTTTTTTTCAACATAATCGCCATTTCGGTCGATGCATTTTTGTAGATGCTGTGGCATTTTTGTAGATGCTGTGGCAGTTTTACAATGCCCATGCCATACCAACTTGCTGCCATGCCCTTCAGGAAGTGTTGAGGAGCTTCAGGAGTATCCAGAGTGATCCTCCGATCTTTACACATGAGTTCCTCAACTTTCACGATTGTCTCGTCGGCAACTGACGGCCTCTCGCTCCTTTCTTCATCATGAATTTAAGTACGACTGGCTGGAAACTCTCTACACCACTTGCAAACATTTTTGACATCCATGCACGACTGTCCATACACTTCTGTCAATAGGCGGTGAATTTCAACTGGTTTAACACCTTTTGCGTTCAAAAATCGAATAACTGTGCGCACTTCGCACTTGGCAGTAACGTTTATCGGGAGCTCCATTACGAATGGCTGCCAAACCAAGACTGAGCATCCGAGCGAAGCGCCTGCGTGCTTATGTGGTAGCGGAGAAGGCACCACTCACAACAGTGTTGCCAACAACCGTATTAAAACTTTCTCTACGTCCCCAAAAAATAGGAGACCTTTTTTGGGGGGGGATTGCTCTCGTATATGAGCAATGCAGAGTTTATTCAATGTCTGATTTTTAAGTGAAAAGAGATCGCTATATACATGGGCAAAGCCAATGTAGTGTGTAATGCCGAGGTTGTGCGTGGTGCCTAGTTTGTGCAATTCTCGGATGTTTTTCTAAATGAAAATAGATTGAAGTGTACATGGGCACAGCCAATGCAGAGGTTGTGCAATTCTCTGATATTTTTAAGGTGGAAATAGATGGATGTGTACATGGACACCAAGCTTTGATGTTTTTCAAGCGAATACGGATCGTTGTGTACAAAGGAAAACGAGATAATGTGTGATGACGAGCTGTAATGTAACGTATTTTATATGCAATGTGTAACATATCATTTGTGTATTTTAAATTTGTATTGCTGTTTTAATTGTGAATTATATTTAAGAATCATTTTTCATTTAATTGTTTTTTAATTTTTTGGTTTGATATGTTTATAATGCTTTCCGACTATGATATATATCGATAGCCGACGATCTACTCAACGTAGCAAACTGTAAACTTTGACCCTATAAGTAACTTTTACCTCATTATTATAATACGTAGTGTTTGCTATCGTAATTGCACTTGATAATATGAGTTCTTTAATAATATGTGTGTGTGTATGTGAAGTATTACTTAGTGTTCCAAATTTGTAGTATTTTCTTTCATTGTGAGAAATTAGAATTTTTTATTTATTTGTGTAAATTCTAGTATGCCTGCCTACAGAGAATATGATGTAATTTAGGAACGTTTTTTCATTAATGTGAAGTTAAAATTTTTAGAAATAATAAAATGTCTAGTTACTGGTATGTAAGGGATTAAGTTTATAAGCAAATGTTAATTTTAATATGATAAAATTGATACGTTCCAGAGAATTAATTTTAAAATTTTAAAAAAATATTTTTATTTGTATAAATGCTGAAGCTTAAAATCTTGAAATATTTAAGTTGTATGAAATACAAGTATCAGAGACTGCGACATTCTTTATCGTTTTAATAATTGGTAGAATTTGCTTACTGTATCATAGTAGTTTTAAATATAAACAATTTATTATACTTATTTTCAGTTACGCCTAAGCTTAAATGTCAGAAATGTAAATTTAAAGAATTTGATGTTAATTTACAATAATAACCAATTCATTATTGTTTTTTTTTAAGAGAAAATAGAAATTAGCATGGAGAATACATTGTGACATCACAAGCTTATTCCGCCCGTTTATGACATCACACAGCTCTCCCTCTCACTTGTTGAGCAGCCTGTCACGCTTTTACCATTTTTATAAGGAAATATCGAAAGGTTCGATTGTTTTAAACAAACACCCTTTAACCTTAATCATTTTTATTAATCATTTCCTAATATTTCTTTCTCTTAAAATTGTGTATAATAGTCGTAAATTTATTTCTATTATCCACGATTTCTGGTGAAATCAAGATGGCCGCCATTTTTTGAAACACAGAGTTTTGTCAAATATCTGGATGGCAACCATTTATCAAAACAACGTATTTCATGTGCTTTGGTGCCAAAACAAATTCACCAAACTTTGAAGGTGGGCTATACTAAAGCTGTTCTGATGTTTGTTGTATAAGGTATTTCTCCCTCCTTCCTAGCGTGACTTCGTAATGTAGTGGTTCTTACGCTAGGGCGGTATTTCAGAGGTCCGTGGTTCAATTCCCGGTGAAGGAGTTTGCTCATTTTTTATTCTTCCGGTTTCAAAAAAATCCTAATGACTCTACAGTTGTTATAAAATTGCATAACAGAAGATATAAAAGAACGGGTCTATTAAAATGAAATTTGCAGTAAAAGAAAGAATGATAAAAAAATTGTTTTATCATAAATATTTGTAACAGTGCTCAACTGATGGTGCTAATGGCTTCCTAAATTTGAAAATGGGAAAAAAAGAGGGTGGCGAATTATGCATGATAAATGAAAATATGTATTATAGTTAAATAAAATAAAATTCCCCACAAGTATCTGAAGAAAATGTCATAGCAAACATGGAAAGACATGTTTACACATTTACAATTTATGCTAAAATGCAGAAAAACACAGGAAATTTATTTCAATTATGATAGCCTTCCATCAATTTCTACAGAATATGTTCTCTGGATATGAAAAAGAATTTGGTTTATCAAAGTATTGGCACTTTCCAAGCAGCAAAAGGTGACCATGTTGAGGTTTGTTAAATATATGTTTCATACTTCACCTTTTGTGTTAATTGCAATTTTTTTTATTGCAATTTTTGCAATATAAAAACTTCTCCGGTTATTTTTTTCCTTTCTTGCAAATAGAATTCTAATACATGATTTTTTTATAATGTTATGAATTGATGTAAAATAAAAATCTTTCTGGGGCTCCTTGCATATTTCAGCAAAACAAAGTTATTTATATTAAAGGACAGATAAGACACAATCTCTGAAAATGATTTAGAGACAAGTAGATAAGCTAAGCTAACTGGATCAAGGACCTGAGTCTGACTAAATATATATATATATATATGTGTGTGTGTGTGTGTGTGTGTGTGGTGTGATAAAAATATGTAATCAAATTATATTTAACTAACGGTAAAATGGTCTCCCTTTGGTTCTAAAAATTATAATAACTTCTCTCAATTGCGTCATTTCTAGATCATTCGATTTTGCATGGCCTGCACAGCACTGATGTTGTTATAATTGGGAACGAAACCTTTCCTTTCGTGGGCTTCCATCTTGTATAACTTTGCAGTTCAGCTTCTGTCTCTGCTCTGCTTGGACGTAATTTCGCTATGCTGCTTCCTATTGAAATAATATCAAAAATGTAAATGTTCTTGAATAGGCACAACTTAAGTACCAAGTGAACTGTGGCCACAAATATCAATTGCAATTAAAAATGGAATTAAAACTGCCTTGACTGCCAAGTTTTTTGGATATTATGAAGTCAGCACATTAGCATACTATGCAATCAGAATCCTTCAATATGAATCTACAGTGTTCCAGTTTTTCCCTTGTTTTTATTATGTCATATATATATTTAAGATTAACAGGAGCATCAGTTAATAGTCAAATAGATAAGAAACAAATCAAATCAACAGAAAATAACCGAGAGCCTACCTAGGCAGAAAACAAAGAATAAAAGAAATTTTAGCCTATTATTAATAGCAGAGCTTAAATATTAAAATGCTTTAATGAACTAACAATTTGCATGTTTTTAAAAGATGCAAACATAAGGGAAAAATAGCATCTCTAATAATCTGGAAATTTAAATGTTCAAATTTCAATTTTCTTCACCACAAAAACAAAACAAAATAAGCTGAATTTTCTTCTTTGTTTTAAAGCAAGAAACACATAAGAATAATAATGATGATAACAGTTTTTCCCAAGTCATAAATTTCTATTACTTCATTTACAATCAAAATTAGAAAATTTTAAATCATAAAAAATAAGGAAAATGATATAGTACCTGGTTTTTTAACTTCATCAGCTACATATGGCACAGGATTTTCTGATGGCAAAAGAGTCATAAGTATAGGAAGCATATATTGTGTTCCTTGCAAAAGCATAGAACCAAGAGTCTGGAGTAAAATCTGATGAGATAACAATCCGACAACTAAGTTGCAGAATGGGACCCTAAAAACAAATGTATTTTAATACAAAATACAAAACAGAAAAAAATTCATTGAAATTGTGTTGTTACAGTTCACATATAGGAATATAATTACAAAACATTTTATAAAGTAATTTGGTTTCATCAAATTTATTTAATTTAGTATAAAAAGTATGTAGTACAAACAATGTAATTTAACAGCTCAATAGTGCACAAATTAGTTTAAAAGTTAAATCTATAGCATGCATTTTGAAAAATACTAATACAAAATTTAATTAATCTCTCAAATATAGGTATTTTCTATATTATAAGCATAAAAATGCAGAAATAATATTTTAACAAATTTCAGAAATTTGCAGGAACATTGCAAATGATATAAGATTGATCTAAAAAATAGATATAAGATATAAGATTGATCTAAAAAAATAGCAAAGGTACTAAACGGTTATGCTCCTAATTTCATAGCAAGAACAGCTAACTTCATTATTTATAAATTCATTGATCTGTGTAGCATATGTGTCATGAAAGCAAAATTGTAACTCCTTCAGTATCGATCTTTTGGATTTCTCACATTGTGATTAATCTATGATCACATATAGCACAATAAACAGTTTGGCTCCATACTCAGTGTTAATACTTTTGCTAATCTGCTTTTCTGTTTAGATTATTTGCATTTTAATCAACCTTAAGACCAAGACTTCCATGGAATACACCAAGGACAGAATTCACATTATTAGTTAACTGTAATATAATATTCCCAATATCAATTATAATAGAAATTGAAAATTCAAATAACTGTGCTGTGAGATCATACATGAGATGTCAGTTAAGATCAGTTAAGATGTCATTAATCAAACACAGCTGTACCTATTGTGATTTAAACTAATTTAATTAAAAGTAGACAGTTGCTATTTAAAAAATGCCCATGCTTATTATACTAATACGTTTTTTTAACCTGAGTCAATGAAAATTATCAAAGATTTGCTTTGCAAATTCCAAGAGGGGAGGGGAAAAAAAAAGACCGTCCAATATATGTTCTCTTAATAATTAAATTAATACTAAAATAACATATATGAACAGTAGATAAAGTTCAAATCTTATATTCACAATTGTCTATCCTATAAATTATTGATTTCAAGCAATGTTTAAGTTTTTTTTAGCTAACAAAGACTATAAAACCCATAAACATTATTTCAATTACATTTTTCAGTAAAAATATTGTCCAAAAGCTTCTACATGCATTCTTATTCTCAGACCCCTTGACAATTCAGAAACAAATCAACAAATCATTTTTTTTTTCAAGATTTGAATATCTTAAATGTAACCATCTGCATTCTTTATATGCATGAATATCAGTTTCAACAGTGGAAAATCTTGTTACAGGGCACTGCTTTCTGCAGTGTGAGCCAAAGATAGGTAAGAAAACCAAATTATACAAGTTCAAATACATGACTGTTGCAACTTTCATTTTCAAATACCTTTGTTAAACATTGTGGATATACCAGCTTGATGAGACTCTCCTTTCAGTGTTAGAAGAACTGCCTCATGCTCTGCTTTAAAAAGAAACTAATGCCATTTTTTTCCCAATAGTACACCTTTATATACATGTATTTTAGTTCTGGTTAGAACAGTTTCATTTGGGAAAGACTATACAGCAGCAAAGAAGTCTGTTTCACATAATCTGGGAAAATACTCCTACAGCAAGTGTTGTTTTGATTCAAAATAACAGTTTGTTTTCAAATGAAATCTCTGATACACTGCACGTCCTACCTTCTCTAAATCACTTCAGCATAAAAATGACACTATCCACTTGGAAACCTTTTTTTTTTTTTTTTTTTTTTTTTTGTCATTTAACAGCTAAAGGATCTAATGTGAATATGTACTCAGTTGAAGGTTATCATATAGGATAAGGACAGCACTCCATGAACTATCTTAAAAATTACAGTTATTTGCAGGTATGGAGATTTTACTTCACTAAGTCATTCATGGGAGCAAAATTTGTAGACATTACTGAGATTGAAAGTTTCCCTAATAAAGAGAATATAATGAAGAGCAATTCTGCCCTTCTTATATTCTGCAAAAGCTTTTAAACTGCAAAAGCCTTCCTTCTGATTGTGAGAGGTTTAATAAGATTTTCATGCTCAGTGCCACTTACCTGCTCACAGTGAATATAAATCTCACACTGATCCTCCCTTTTCGCCAGCCAAAGTTGATGATATAATTCAGAATTTAATGCCTGGTAAGGCTTCTGGTCTTGATTCTATTCCCAATGAAACTATAAGATACCTTCATCATTATTTCCGTGATGTTTTTCACAGATTATTCGACATTAATTTAAGTCTTTGTGTTTTTCTGAACACCTGGAAGGATGCCATTGTCATTGTGATACCCACAAAAAAAGACTTTCAGTGTTCCACATGTGAATAATCTTAAGTTTATCTGCCTTCTTTCTAGATACATGTTTTGATAAATTAATTATTAAACAGAATTACTAATGGAAGATTAATTACTAATAGAATTACTTGGCATCTATATAATAAAAATCTTAGTGCTGATCAATATGATATCACTGCTAAAAAATATACTGAGCATGCATTTTAGCATCTAAGCGGCATTGTACAGAGGGGAAATATGAGAAGTTTGTATACTATTTTAATTTTTTTGAATACTGAAAGAGCCTATAATAATGAATGATTGTTTGCCATTCATAATTTACTGAAGAAAATGAAACTGTCCCATAATGTGTTTAATGTTGTTGCTGATGGATTGTTGAGCTTTTTTTTGGGGGGGGGTGCCACCTTTCGTGGCCCTAAAAAGGGATGTCCACAAGGTTCTGTTTTCAATCCGAGGCTTTGGATTGTCATTTTCAATGACCTCTTGTAGAAACTTGCTGATTTTTTCAGTTGTGGAGAAATTGATTCTGCTAATGATCTGTTGCTCTGTGTACATAGAAAGGAGTTGTATGATATTTTTTTGCTTGCTCAAAGTATTCTAAATTTCCTTTTTGAGTGGCTGACAAATTTTATGCTGAAATTTAACCATGAAATATCTAAAATGATGCCCTCATTGATAAAGAAATACTACTTATGATGGCTATCAACAGGTTTTTAATAATGATCTGCTTGAGATGGTGAATGAAATGAAATATTTAGGTATTTTACCGGTCAGCAAATTTAACTGGAAAAAGCAGATTTCAAGATCCAAGAAACTTCAGCATGGACTGAATTGAATTGCATGCAATACTTTTGGTGTTAAATCGAATGTTATAAGGTATTTCTCCCACCTTCTTAGCATGCCTTCGTGGTATAGTGGTCAGCCCATTCCGCGCGTATTCGAGAGGTCCGAGTCCTGGTGAGGGCATTGCTCATTTTTCAAGTCTTCTGCATAAAAACAACCTAATCAACCTAATTCATTCTCATTTGTCCAAGACAAAATTATGTAAAATTAATATCTGCATGCTAATGGTTATCACATTTCATTTGACATAATCTAAAAATGATAAAATGTAGCCTATAATGTAAAAAAGTCATACTTGTATAAAAAAGTTTAGCAACATTGAAAAACATTTTGAATGCTCTCATTTATCCCATTTAGAATCAATATGATATGTACTACAACAATTTTTGATTAGAAAATGTTAATACTATCTGACAGAAAAATTCTACAGCAATTCTTGTTTTGGTGCTCTAGTTCATTAATTAATTATTACAGTATTTAGTTTAAGTTTCGTTAGATGAAAAAGATATGCATTTGTGGGATAACTACTTTCAAAGCTCCTTCTTTACTTTTTCACACAAAACCATAAATTCATGATAGGGAACTATACATTAATTTGCTTAGCTAAAAATTAAAACTTGCATCAATCATGGTTCTTTTTATTAGCATATAATGAGGACATGATATGGAATCCAAATTTACTTTTATGAAAAATAAGCAAGCTTTTTAAGACTTTTATGGTTTCTGTTGCATACAGATATGTATCACTTTCTATTTTAAGTAAAAAAACACATTCTCTCTTTACTGTAAATAAATAACGATGCTGAAACTATTAAAAAAAAAAAAAAAAAAAAAACCTTAATGGTGCAAGAACCCTTAGCGAGCCATGACCTGCAGTGCCCTAATTTCTGCTTTCTTGGCCGCGGGCCCCGGAGTGCATGAGCATATACCCTGGATTGGTCAGCTTGTTGCAGAACCCCCGGTTTTTGGCCCCCAAGTGAACTTGGTACTCATTTTATCAGCCCACTCAAGGGATGAAAGGTTGAGTCAACACTGCCCAGTTCGGGGACTGAAATCCCGACTTGTGGTGCTACTGCGCCACACGCCAAACATTGTGCCACCGGGCCTTATGATGGTGAAACTAATATTTTATATTTGTAGATATTAGTCAGAGTTACTGTATTTAAATAAATCTTGTTTATTTTATTTTAAAACTCAATATATCACAAATATCACGAAAATAATGTGCATTATACTATATAGAGGACTATTACATTATACAATATAGAGAAATATAATTGCCTTTTGCCTCAGATATGCAGATTATGTCTATTGAAAACAAAGACAAATATGAAGCTCTGAAAACATTAAAATTTATAGTGAAAAATTCATTTTTAATTTGGCAGTATCTAGTCGCACAGGATTTATCAAATCACTTTATGTCAAAAACTAAATGTAAGCATACAATAAACAAGCATGCAAATGTTCATAAGCATGAAACTGATTTGAAAATATTATAATTGCAAAACTGACCTAATAACCGAAGCTTCAATATCTTCTTGATCAAGATTGGGAGGAAAGAGTAAAAATGTAAAAGTGCGTTCATCATCTTCCACACAGCTTGATTTGGCACTAAGGTTAGATGTTTGTTGACAATCCAATAAAAATACCTAACAAGAAAATGCAATCATATGCATACATCAAACATGCATGACTGTTGCACAAAATTCTGTGAAAATCATCTGCTTATTATATATAAACATATTTACATAGTACTTTTAGTATTTTGGGGGATGATAAAAAACTCTACAAGTATAAAACCTAATAATCAAAACTGTATTCTTCCTTTACTCACAGGGAAAAAAATACAGTACAAAGTCCAACATCTGGACGTCCATTATCCCGAATGATCTAAAATCCGGACCTCAAAATCACTAACAAAATTTTTCTCATAGGCTTTACGTGTGCGCATTTGATTTCCCCCTCCGCACATAATAAAACATCTGGAGAGTAACAATTCTTAATTATCTTTGATACCAAATAAAATACTCCGTTACTGAAAAAACAATAAATTTAGCATAAATTTGTACAATCAGTAATTTGCCTCCGTTGCTGCCTATTTGCTTGGCGTGCATCTCAGACTGAAACATTCCACATAGATACAGCGTTGATCTGACGTCAACCTGGCGAATCATTATTTATTATACTTTTCCTTTCATTACCGCATATTTATCAAAACATGACAACTTATTAATGACTCATGCAGCGATACCTAAACAATTTTTTATGTTACTATTTGAATAATAAAGGAATGTGGTAACCTTTTATGTTGACATTACGCTTGGCGATGATTACAGATTTCAGTTGCACTAAAAATGTTGACGAGGAAAAATTTACCAAAAATTTCTTTCCATATGCTAAAAAATAGATTTTGTTGATGATACTCATAGACCCAAAGATTATACATTTAGGGCTATTTGAATTAAAAATAACTGATTTGTTATTCGCATAAACCCGGAACCAGTGTCAGGGCTCATATGGCCATGCCAAGTCACAGACTTGAGGACCCACAGAGGGTTCATCAGGCGGACCATCAGGCGATATCTTGCGCCGGCCCTCAATAAGGCTTAAATATATGTGGGAATTTATTTATCTGATAAGACTTAAGCGTGTGCGAGAAATAGACATAAGTATAATAAATAAGTAAACTAATACAATTCAGGCTTGTCTCAGTGCATGATAGAAGCAAGATAAAATTTAACGGAACAACTTGTCGTTAGTCGCCAAGCTCATGATGCAAGGATAGCTAAATTTGATTATGACAACCGCTAATTTTAAAGGTTTTCGGATATCGCAAAACAAAGGTGATATTTTCCAGTTAACGGATTTTGTAAAGAAATGTGGAGAAGCGGTAATATATGAAGATGATATAAAAGAAGTTTTTCACTGTGATGACAATGCTTTTCAATCATCAATCAATTAATGAAAGGAAAAATCTGTAGTATGGTTCTAGATCCAGAAAATACCGCTACCGATAGTGAAGAAAGTGACAGAGAAGTTACTGAAAATGAGAAAATTTTGATTGAAAAGTTAGTCGGAATTCTTGAAACAGCAGTTACAGGACAACAATGTAACTGAACAAGAGACTATCTCTGTTTACAGAATTAAAAAGAAAGTATTAGCACAAAAAACGAAGTAACTTAAAACAACTTACATTGAAAGAAATGTTTAATAAGGTAAACAAATAAATATTAAGCTTTTTTTGTAAATTTTGATACACTTTAGATCATAAATACTTCATTATTTCATAAATTGCAATTTCATATTTTTAATTTTATAATTTCTACATGCCATCTTACTAGATTTAAACTGATGATCTATTATCCGGAAAAATCCCAAATCCAGAATTGCCGAAGTCCCAACGAGTCCGGATTTCGGACCTTGTACTGTATTAGGGTAAAATAAACATTAAGATACCATGAATCAAAGTCTTGATTGCCTAATAATTCACATAATCAAAATTTTGGCATTATCATCAATAATTAAATTATAAATTTAGAAATTTGTTTTTTGAGCAAAAATATTACTTAAGAATGTACACTACTTGAAAGAGAAAAGACAGCACAAGGAAGATTTTGCCATGGTATTTCATAAATTGCAAGAAAATCTGAGTTGGCTGCATGTTTAGCAAATGAAACCAAAGAAAAATGTAAAAAAGGTTAGGATTCAGATAAACATATATTTGTCATTTTCTTCAGCTCATATAAGCCTGCATTTTAGAGATGCTTTTCCTTTCAGAATAAATGTTAAATTGAAGAAATAACACAGAGATGCTACCAAAGAAAATTTTTATTAAACGGAAAATTTAACAACAGTTTTTATTTCAGGTCTATTTTATACATCAACATCTGCTAACTTGCCATACCATCATATCATAGCTGAAGCACACAAATATTTGCTAACTGTGCATAAGATATGGACAAAATGAACTGAAGAAGGAAATATGAATTATTATAGGAGCATAGGTACACTTAGACTAGCGGTGTCCAACTGGTGGCTCAAAGGTAGCCTGCAATTCCATCTTTAGGTGTCCAGTAGCCATAATCACAATCATACCATGAGAAGGAAGCCTTACTCTAATCCTAATGCAAAAAATAACCATAAAAAAGTACAATTACATGTCACATACAGGAGTACTGCATTTGTGTTTACCTACTCATATTACCTTAACTCACTCACCTTAGTTTCTGTGGTTTTATCAGCACAGCCAATTAGGATTAAAGTACCTGCTTTAACATAAGCTCTTCGCAGAGACTGAATCATCTATCTATAGCCATGCGATCTATGGAAGTCAGCCATCAGTTCAGTTCAAATAAGTTGATAAATATTATGGTAGTGACTATTAAACTGCATTGTAGTTTTAAACTAACACTTTAGTTATTTTGTATATCTCGTAATGTGCTTTTTAACATGAGTGACATGCCACAACCATCAAAAGGAAAGAAAACTTCAACCCTGAAAGGAAAGAAGTGCTATTATTTACGAACGCTGGCATAAAAGCAGTTTATTTATTATGCAGCATCATCTGCTTAACAAACAAATATATCTTCAGTAGCAGCACCACAGTCATATAATGTTAAATGTCATCATAAAACTGTTCATAAAGATTTCAATAGTAAATATCCATTCATTATGGTTTATGCATATTCTGCTTTATGCAGACATAGAGTTCAATCATTAAAATCTTCTCTAAATGTTCAACAAAGTAATCTTTTCACCCTAACAAATGAAGCAAAGAATCACACAGAAGCATCCTTAAAAGTAAGTTACATTTTTGTACCACATAGAGAGGCATATTCAGATGGGGCATTGTGAAGGAAGCTACACTGGCAATGTCAGAGTCTTTATTTCATGAATATAAAAACAAAAATGAAATCCTCATGGTTATAAAAGATATGCTTCTCATAGGAAACAAACACCATGACAAGTGAACTATATGGCAAACAACATCTACATACAAATGAGATCCAATTTTTAAAAATATGTATATTTTTTCCTGCAGTTCGATAAATCCACTGATGCTACTGACTCAGTACAACTTCTGATCTTTCCTGATTTCATACTTCTCCGTTAAATAAGCATTGTTGATGATGTTGATTTTGGCAAAACACACTCAAGGGGAACACTCTCTCTAGAACATGCCAATTGTTCTCTTCTATAATATACTAATTCAATATTGAAGAGAACATGTTGATGCAATTACAATGCACAGTGCGCTGACTATGATCAAGAATAACATTGGGTTTATTGGACTTTTATTTATTAGGTGGATGACACATTTTATATATTCCATGCATACCACTGAGTTATTAATCAAGGAAATCTGACCACTGAAAAGCTGAACCTCAATTAGAAAATGATTGTTATTATATGTACTATAAATTTTATCTAAGGACGGCCTTTGGATCATCGACTTTTTAAAGCTTTGCTTGATGGGCTAGATAGCGAGTATGGTGATATCATTTACCCCACAGAAGTATGGAGTCAAAGAAAAAATTTAACAAGATTTGTTGGATTTGTTGGATTTGTCAGAGATTAAAACTTTTCTCATATCCAAAGGCAATTATGATCAAAAATTGGATTGGATGGCATGGAGTGGCCTGTGCATTTTTAACCAATGATCTAAATATCATTTTACAAGCGGGGGCGGAACACACATTAGAAATGAAGGGCTCAATATCTGCTTTTCTAGCTAAAATCAATTTGTGAAAGAAAAAAAATTGGAGAAAGACTATCAACATTTTCCGTCATTTACTTTCATTCTAAATTTTTTGTAGTATAATCCATCTAAGAAGCATGTTGAACACCTTCTGTTACTTAGCTCAGAATTTAAATAAGATTCCAAGACATCATGTATTGAGTCTATTGTATTGTTTACAAAAAGTCCTTTCTTGGAATTAGACATATGACATAGTGGAAAAAATCTTGTTTTATTGATAAATCAGGGGTTGAATTAGAGAGTAATTATCTTCGTGTTGATATAACACTCAAAAGCACAGAAAATGAAAGTGATGAAATTAATAGACCCTACTAAAACTAATAGACCCTACTAAATACAAAAATATATTTAGGTGTGCACTAACAGTGAAAGCACTTTTTAGGTCAACATACTTCTGTGAACAGGTTTCTTCACAACTTAAAATAATAAAGAGCAAGTACAGAAATATGCCAACTCTAGAGCATGCAAAAAAGAATACAGTGCTGGCATG